GTCAGTTCTGGCGCTCCCATATCTGTGGATGGACGAGGCAGCCAAAGTGATCCACTGAGAACAGAGCTCCGTTAGTCTTATGACGTAACTTAATAAAAGCACAAAGTAAAGTAAAAAGTATGAGGCCCGATCGGAACACGCGGCCACAAAGCAGACGAACTCGGGGGGGAGGGGGGGGGGTTCAAATATTTTACTATAACTGTGTAAAGGATGGTAGGCTACTGGAACGACTGACTTAATGAAACATTGTAATTGTAATCATAATTGTTGAAGTTTTACGGCCCGGTCGACACTATTTAAAAGCGAGCTGCTTCAACAATGACAATCTGGGCCTAAATGGGCTGAGAGGGATAAAGCGTCCCAGCAGAAAGACGGAGAAACTCATAAATCGAACCGCTTCTCCTGCGTGAGACGGCAAACCGCCTAACCACTATACCATAGATGTATAAAAGTAGTCATAATAATATACAAAAAAAAGAAAATGAAAAATGGGAAGTGGTCGTTTGTACAGATGATTGTCTTGTACTAGTGGCCGTTAGAGTAGATTTGATTGTATAGGATTGTTTGTTTTTGTAAGTGTTTTACGGCGTTCGCAACTTATAAGATCACATGTGCGCACGGGACACATTTTTCAGTTGATAGGAAATTTTGAATTTTGCCCGGGTGGCGGCCGAAGCCTACTCTTATCGATTTTGGACCACCAAGGGATCTTTAACGTGCGCACTTGTACACAGGACCTCCGCGATTTTTCGCCCTTGTCCGAGAAGGCTAGGAGGTGTAGATCTTTCCTACCAGAAGATCAGGGGTGTGGCTGAAAGACAGCAGTAAGAAGGAGCCAAGGAGAATCTGTAGAAAGGCTGCAAAAAGAGTCAGGCGCCCAGAGGAGGGGGCAAAGGAGGTGAGGAGGTGTGGGCAGAAAGTGAGGACGAAAGCAGACGACAGACCATTGCTAGAGAGCAGATTGTATAGGAGACGGATGAGCGCATCTGTGAAGTAGGCCTACATGTAATGGTGGGGCCCTTTGCGTCCACTATGCCTGTCACTGTCAGGGTCAACAAAGGCTCAGTGCGATACAGCATACCAACAGAAAGATGAAAACACTTTCCCTCGAACGCTTTTGCTTTGGTAAGAGTTTTACGGTATTTTCAATACAATACGGTCATATATGTGCCATAAAATGATAAATGGTAAATGGAATAGGTTTAACACCCATCAACACTATTGGGGTATATTAAGAGGCGGGACCTCCGAGTTTAACGTCCTTCTTCGAAAGGACCGAGCCAAATGGGAAATTCGTGTAAAGTGCTTTTCACAAGGATACAACGTCACACTGAGATAAGGCTCGAACCCCCAAACCTGCAATTTCACGATTATGAGCCCGGTAGCCTAACCACTAGGCTACCGACGCCACTACCAAAGACTGAAGGTACTTGTACTACAAGAGAGTAACAAGCACAAAAATGGAGAAGAAGAGATCAGATAAGGACAGTAGATGAAGATATTCGATAGTAAAGAGAAGGAACAAACCACACCAGAGCACCTGCCAACCACTCACCTTCCCCGAACGGGAATTGAATCCATGTCTTTGTATGCAATAGCAAAGAACCCAACCATTACACCACAGACATCAGTACATGCAAAATACACAATGGATCAAAGTTTGAGGCAGTCATTTATGCCGTTTGAAAACTCCCAAATAGAAAACAACGCAATACCATATGAAGGAATTTCTTTTATTTATACTGTTTTCTTACAAAATATATGGCTATTGCCTGATGTAAACTGAACCAATAAAGCACTGTATAAGGCATTACATACCACACATACATAAGACATTACAAGGAAAACAAAATGCACGTCTCTGACAAGCTGTTAAAATGTACTAAGCCCAGATAGCAAAATTTTAAAAGAGAGAGAAAAAAATTGTATCCTTCTTTAAACAACTGTGTCTACACTATGTATTTTTTCTTTCTTTTTCAACATTTAGAATTTAGATTTTTCTGCAAAATATGTCTATTTCTCACATACATGCAACCAATATTATCATAAATTAAGATATTGCTATTGAAAAATTTGTCAAAATATTAGGCTTAGTACATCTGACAGCTGGTCGACGATGTATTTTTCTGTGGAGTTTGGTAGCACAGTTAAACTTCATGTTTGTTCAATTTATCAAGCATCAGACAACCCTGCAAGGTAAATATCCCAGACAACTAGTGCCTGATATTAAACATTTACAAAAATATCATAGTAAACTATGTTTGTCAATAACACAGAAGAATACTAATTAGGGTTCAACAACGGTTTGACAAGTAATTTTCCTCATCAATTCCTAGTTTAATGGATACAAAATAGATCTACCACAGCCACTTTTGAAATTTGCATAAATCCTGTGAAAACATTTCATCTATTTGTTTACAAGGTTGGGATCATCTCAGATGACACTAGTCTATAACTGCTCCCCCCCCCCCTCCCCGCTTTTTATCAGGGTCCACCTACACACAAAAAATGGAACACTTCAAGAATTTGCATATCATCCTTGTATTACAGAGCAATGCTTATCTTCTGTATTTTTCCAGTTTTTAATATATGTACTGGTACTGTGTAAACAGTGAAAACGTACAGGTATACAAATTAAACGATCTGATGGAAGGATCACAAAAGTAAAATTCGTAATGTAATTGGTGAATTATAAAAAAAAAGTATTCTGAGAACAAACCATTTCCCCCGGTCCCCTTCCATCAAATATAATCGACTGAAAGCCACTGTTCTGTTAGAACTGACGATGGTATCTGTGAGGTATTTGTTGACATTGTAAGTTTGATGACAATAGTGCCTATATAAGCAAATCAGGCCAATGCAAACCAAAAAAAATCTACAGCAGAAACTGCAAAGATATGACTGATGTTCTGCATTTTGTTTGCATATTCTGATTTCTTCACATCAGCAGAAGAAAGCCAACTAAAAAGAATCTTTTTTTTTTTAATCCATACATATAGATATGCTATACATGTATACCGGTAATCAAAAGCTAAGTAACCGAAGGTCCCTGATTTTTTTCACAAGCAACCCCATCAACCACCGTCCACTCCCATTGCCGTGCATAGATTTGCCACAACAGAACAATGAAGTAGACTCACACTGAACCTGCATAACACTTCCTGGATAGAATCATTTATAGTAAAACTTTGTTGGAGTGGTATTTCACAATACTTGGCAAAAAAACAGACAATATCTGAATAACATTAGGTTGGTATTTCAATTTTTTATAAATAGAAGTGGATAAGAGAGAGTTTAAAAAGCAGAAAACCCACATATAGAAAAAGAATATTTTCATATGTTGGGGGGGGGGAGATACAAAAAGAGGTACAGGAATGTTTGTCTCGATCTTTTTCATGACATAATGATCATAGAAATGTTGACATAACTCTGCTTTACTCACTGTTTCGCCATGTTTGAGGTGTAAAACATGCGGGTGGGAAATGAAAAACAAATGAGAAAAGAATTGGACAGGGAGGGAGGTCAATAATTCAAAAAAATGAAATCTCAAACCTCTCCCTTAACAGAAAACCCGTCCTCGTCTCAAGGTACAAAGTCAGGTCAGACAGTTTCCCAAATCTAGTTCTGGCTAGTCACATTGATTTTCTACTGTATTTGGTAACTACAAAACAGAATAATTAACAGCACTCCTCCTCACTAATACCCTTTCCCCCCACCACGGGAAACAGAACGGCTTCAGAAAACTAAAGGTTTTAATTGTAGTATTCGGGAGTCAATACAATAACAGCCACATTTCCACATTTGTTTTGAATTTAGGAGTTTTACGACACTTACAACACAAAAAGAGTCATAAAAGTGCAGAAGACTAGACCTGTTACTAGAGAGTAACATACAAAGAAGAGAAGGAGGAGAGATAAGGAAGATCAATGTTCGATAAGAAAGAAGGAGCAAACCACACCTCAGCACCCATCGCCCACCCACTTCCAGGCACTGAAGAGGACTACAGAAACAGTAACAGACCAGACCAGAACAATCACTAATTAGAGACAGTTGATTCAACAACTTACAGATAAGGAGAAGAAAGAAAAGAATCTGACATCAACATTTTGTATAAATCAGAATGCACACAATACGACTCTTCAAGAAACAATCCACAAATTGTTACTGAAGAGAATCAGCCTCATTGAAAAAACCATTTCGTTAAAAGACATGAAAGGAGCAAAATAGTCAGAAATTCATAAAGAAATGTCATTAAGTCATTGAAAATAACTAGAAAAATTCCACAAACAAATTTTTCCGTAATAAAATAAAAAATATCAAACTAACAAAATGGAAAAAAAAGTCTTGACTGCACACAAATAAACTATATATTAAGAAAAACAGAAATGATATGTCAAAAGTGAAGTTCAAAGTAAGAAAAAAAAAATGCAAGATAACATCAATGTCATTGTACGCTGTAAATATCTAGTGTATGCACCTTGTTCATGAAAGTATGGAGAAACAACATCATAAGAACCAGATAAGAAAAACAAATCATTTCCCGAAGCGATAGGATAGGGTAAAGAGAAATACACCAGCTTCACCAGTGGGGGGAAAAAAGCATGAAATAAACAAAACAAAAAGACGTTTTAAAAAATGTAACAATGTTATTACTGTTGTTTTTGTTGCCACCCTACTACTACTAAACAAAAAGTGAGCCATTTCGAAGGCAACGCTCTTGGCATCCCATCAGAGCCCAGAGCTGACAGAAACTATTCTGGGAAGGGTGAGAAAAACCATTAAGATGCCACTTGGACTCAAATCTTACAAATCAAGTCCACAATATACTGCAACAGGGCTGCCAGCAACTGCACAAGAGCATATATAGGCCTAAAATCAACATTTGATGATGAAGAAACATCACAAGAGTAAAATCCTCAATGAAATACAGTCTAGCACACACATAGTAAACAAGCATAAAGCCAAAAATGCACACTGCAAACATATTTTCAGGACAGGAATTTTTTTTTTTTATACATATGGGAGAGCAAAAGAAGCAGAAAGGCTTCCTGTTCAAGGAAAAACAGCTTATCCCAGGAGGGGTTGACAAAAATCAATGTCAAAACCCAAATCTGTAAAATGTGACGACTTTAAACCTAACAAGCATGTTGGTACGGTAACTAATAAACACAACAGTAAAATTTTGACCCGATTGCCCAACTTTATCAACCTTGCTACAGTCTAAAATGAATGCATAGTAAAATTCATATATCCTGCCAGTTTCACTATGTGCTTACTACACTGTATATTCATTCAGTTTGAGAAAAGAAGAGGACATAACTATCTTTTATTCATCTATGCAAAACAAACAATGGCACAAAATTACAAGCACTATGAAACATCACAGGCAGTGAAATGGTGTCCATTTTCTATCTCATATTAATTAACAGGAACGAAAGTCAGGGGAAAAAGTTTCTCCAAAAAGATATTTTTTTAGAAGCATCACAGGCAGTTTGATGTTCATTTAGCATGTCCTCTTTGGCATACAACAGAAGAAAAAAAAATTTGAAACTCAAACAATAACAAATCCTATAAATCAAATGAATGAATGTAAAAAAATACTCAGCTTTTACTGTGAGTTACCAAATGTAGGGGATGAGCTTAGCAGTGTTTCTGACATACTCTTGATAAGCTGGCTCATTACCCCATCTCTTCTTCCCCAAAGCCTCCAAGAGAGGAATGCCACTCACTCTTGTGAGAAGGTACGTCAACAGGAGAGGGGAAATGATGCCGATGTGCTCCCATCCTCGCAACACAGATGTGGACGACACATACAGACCAGTCCACATAAGAATTTCCCCAAAGTAATTGGGATGCCGAGATACACTCCAAAGTCCGCTAGTAATAAACTTTCCCTGCAAAGAAAAAAAAAGGTGTTAAATCAAGAGCACAGTTCCATAAATTAAAGAATATTAGCATTATCACTTACAATGAGGGCAGTTCTTGACAAGCACACACCATTTGTAACTCGTCATATGTCGACTAGAACGTATGCACCATGGTTTGGGGCTGAGGTGAAAGCGGCCAAAATCGAATGCAGGAAGGCAGAGAGACAATGGCTTAAAACAGGGCTCACCATCCACAAGCACATTTTTAGATTTAAGAAGCAAGAGTTGAAATGTGTAACTAAATGTGCTAAAAACAAATACTATGTTTCTAAATTGGAAAAGTCAAAATCGTGTGAACAATTATTCGGCATTTGTGATGAACTATTAGGAAGAGTCAAAAAGACACGTCTCCCGAATTCTTTTAGCGACTTAAAACTACCCAAAAAGTTGCTGGTTATTTTACAGATCAAGTCCAGAAACTAAGAAACTACTTTGATAACTATGAAATGTGGTGATTTTGATGTATATGATGATGGGGTGATTCTTGATAAGTGTAAACCTGTTTCTGAAAAATACATTAAATCAGTAATTCTAAAATCCCCTAGCAAGCATTGTGATCTCGACCCTGTCCCTAGTTCTCTGTTGTCTTCCTGCATTGACAAACTGATCCCATTTATTACTAAAATCATAAATAATTCTCGTGTGTGTGGATCAGTACCAGATTCCTTTAAAATTGCTCTTGTAAAACCTTTGCTAATGAAACAAAAACTTAGATCAGAATGTCTTAAAGAACTATAGACCGGTTTCAAATCTGCCTTTTCTGTTTAAAATCCTTGAAAAGGTTGTCCTCAAGCAGCTTCGTCATCAATTAAAAGAGAACAATCTGTTAGAGCCATTCCAGTCTGCCTATGGAGCTAACCACAGTACAGAAACAGCACTTCTTAAAGTCATGAATGACATGTATGCTTACTGACTGTGATTCAGGAAAGGTTGTGTCCTATAACCACTACTATTTATCATATGTATGGATGGAATTACAAAAGAGGCCAACACAGAACCAGACGCCCTAAATGAATTACTTTTCGCTGATAACCAATGCCTGGTACACAAAGATGAACAAAGTCTCCAACACCACACCACCAGATTAAACGAAGAATGTAACAACTATAACATGAAGATCAACATCAACAAAACAGAGACAATGAAAGTAAGCAGAAAGCCAGGACCACTCAGGATACACATCAACAACAACAGTCTCATACAGGTCCAAGAATTTGAGTACCTCGGAAGTAAATTCACAGAGGGTGTGCGACTGAACAGAGAAATTTAAACACCAGTACAAAAGACCAATAATGTTAGTTACCAGCTTACTCCACTACTGAAACATCCTAACATCCCCATGACAACACAACTCAAAATGATCAACACCATATTCATCCCAACATCAATGCCAAACATGGACCACGACCAAGACATTAGAGCAAAGAATTACAGCATGTGAAATGCGATGCCTTAGAAAAGCAGTAAACAAGACCAGGCAAGACAAAATTAAAAACTTAGTAATCAGAGAAATGGTGGGCACAAAAGACGTCAGGCATCACATCCAACACCCAAAAATCAAATGGTTCGGACATCTCATGCGATTACCAACACACCATCCAGCAAAGCGTGCCTACATAAAAAAATTCGATGGCAACAAGGCTACAGGGCGACCGAGAAAGACCTGGATAAATGGAGTCAGGGAAACATTAACAACTCACGGAATCCCCCTGACCCAACCTCTCCGGCTGGCGGCAGAGAGACGTCTCTTTATTCCCGCAATACCCAGAAGGGTATAAGCAGCGGATAAAAGTAAAGTAAGATCAATACTAAGTATACTGCTTTACTAGTAACTAGCTTGATTTTATCAAAACTCTATTATTGTAACTCCTTGTTATCAGGAATATCACTGGAGAAAGTTAAAAGACTTCAAACTGTCCAAAACAATGCTGCACGTTTAGTTTTACGGAAAAGAAAGCGAGACTCTGCTACACCTCTTTTACGGACATTGCATTGGCTCCCCGTTGAGAAAAGAATAGTGTCCAAGTTGGCCACCCTATGTCAGAAATGTTTGAATGATAATGCGCTATCATATTTATCAAATCTGTTAAGACTGTACATTCCAACTCGCAGTTTAAGGTCATCAGCTGACAAAAAGAAATTTATTTTACCATCTATGAAACTTAAAACAATGGGTGAAAGGAATGAAAGGGCATTTGAATACCAAGGCCCCAAGATCTGGAAAGCTTTACCAAGTACTTTAAGAGAGATCAAATCTTTTGATTCATTCAAATGTCAGCTGAAGTCATTTCTGTTTTTAAATTAATAAGATGGATATTTGGAGAGATTTTCTTTTAGTCAGAACACGTTTTATGTTACTGTTGTACGTTGTACTGTATTGTAAAGCGCTCAGGGCCTGTGTAGTTTAATCAGGGTTGAGCGCTACATAAATGTCATTTATTCTTATTAATGGTAATCAGTAAGTTCATGGCATTGATATAAAACATAATTTGAAAAAAAAAAAGTTGAAACAATCCTTCCTCTTATTTCTTGGCAATTCACTACAATTTTAACTTGCATTACGTTTCCACTCAGAGCAATGTTGTGTATATAAAACAACTCTGACGCAACAAGCTGAAAACTTGAAATACTGAAACAAAATCTTCCACTTATTGCTGAAAACAAGCCACAAACCAAATAAAGTACAGATAAATCACAATCTTGTTATATCTTCCCACAATTTGAAGCAGGTTTGAACATTTATAATACAAGGCTAACACACACTTCCTCCTAAAGCCAGATTAAAATACATTTACAATGACACAAGAACGTTGCCCCAAAGTCATAGAGCGGCAGCTTGCAAGGCACTTTTCTTTTCTGTACCAGGTTTAAGGGCGGGGGGGGGGGGGGGGACTCTCAGTTAATGAAAAAACTCTCCATCCATAAATACATTTTCTAAACTTTTATACATGTACATAATAAGATGTTCCTTAACTGATAACCAACACTGTGAATTAAGTTTCTGGTAGTAGCAATCAGCAGTTCAGTTCTAGTTAAAAATCATATCAGAATGGAAAAGAAAAAACAGCACTCATTTTGAAGAAATAAACAGTATTCTTTCATGAGACAAGAGTATTGAAAATCATACTCTAACATTGAAACCACGAACTGTGGGACACCATTCACAAAGAAAGACACCTGTATCCAATCAATTCCTTTCAGAGTCTTAAAAATTAGTCAAACTTCAGAAAAGAACGTTTGTAAAAATCTAAAATCTAATGTCCTTCTGAAACAATTGGATCTTATTTCAAAGGCTGACCATTTAGTACTTTACTTTTACTTTTTGCTCCCTCTGGTATCCTTAGGATGTTGAGGGGAGGTGCAGGTTTCTGTCCTATGGTAGGTGTGTAGCATCTGTGACAGATATGTCATGTTGTTCCAGGACCTTTTTAACCCCATCCAGAAAGGTCTTTCTTGGTCTTCCTCTTGATTCGAAGCCTGATTCTCGGGTGTTGTAAGCTCTAGTCACTAGTTATTTCTGGGGCATTCTGGTTAGATGTCCAAACCATTTGACCCTTTGACGCTCTATGAATTTTATTACTGGTGGTATTCCAGTTTGTAGATGTATGGTTTCGTTTCTTATGCGGCCTGTTCTGGTGACTTTGATGGATTTGCAGAGATACCTCATTTCGCATGCATTGGTTTTTCTTTCTTGTGCCTTGTTCAGAGACCATGTTTGAACTAGTATGTTAATGTTGGTATGAAGATACTATTGATGAGCTGGGATTTCACTTCGGTTGGGATGTTCTTGTGACTGAGCAGGGGTGCTAGTTGGTAGGTCATTGCATTTGCCTTCATACTTCTTGTTTCTATTTCTTTGTCCATATGTCCATCTTGTGTGAAGATGCTTCCCAAATATTTAAATTCCTCTCCTTGAAGGATCTGTGTTCTGTCAATAAGGATGTTGAGTTTCCCTGAGTTTCTACTGATCTTCATAACTTCTGTTTTTGAGATGGAGATTTTCATGTTCAGGTGTTTACATTCCTCATTTAGTTTAGTGGTCTGTTTTTGTAATTCCTTTTCATTTGTATATAATATACTCTGGTCATCAGCAAATAAAAGCTCGTTCAATTCAATGATGTTGTCATTTGCTGCTTTCGTGATCTTATCCATGCAAGTGATGAAGAGAAACAGAGAGAAAACATACCCTTGTCTCACCCCAGACCCCAGACCTGATGGGGAACCAGTCCGATAGTCCTTCTGTTGATCTTACGGCACACAGGCTGTTTTTATAAAGTGCCAAGATGTTCTCCAGCAATTGTCCTGTAACACCATATTCCTCTAAGACTTCTCAAAGTCAGCATCTATTTACCCGGTCAAATGCCTTTTCCTGATCAAAGAAGACGATATTGAGGTCTTTGTCATGTGCAATGGCAGTCTCACACAACTGTCTTAATGCAAAAATAACGTCAGTACAGCTCCTGCCTTTTCTGAAGCCAAACTGGGATTCACTGAGTTGAGTCTCTACAATTGGTCTCATTCTCATTTCCAGTACCCCCTTAGTAACAGCTTAAAAAGTCTCCTTTATGCTGGACCTTACGTTCAGGCAACAGATTTATTTGAAATTGTAGTTTTAACTAAAGAAATTTTACATCCCCAATGATAAGATTTAGCTCATTCAATAGGCATGCTGCTTCAACTCTGACTGTCAGGGCTAACCCGGGCTCAGACTGAGAAGGACACATTCCCACCAGACAGACGTTTTTACTCTGTAAAAAAACCTCCTCGCATCTGAATCAAACTCGTGTCCTCTGCGTGTGACAGCAGCACCCCTGCTCAGTCACTACGGCATCCCAACCACAGTGATATCCCACAAACCGCTTAACCACAGATGCTAGTAGTCAACAGATTGATATGAAAGAGAGGTGTACAGAAGATAAAGAAAGTACAGAAAAAAAACATCACCCTTAAACTTTAGAAGATGTGGTGGTTCTCCCTATATCAGCGAGATATACATCTATCTATTTCCCCTAGCCCATTTAGGTATAGAAAGTAGAAAAAAACATGAACATATGAAGAAATACATTGTTACTCACTGCATTAGCTGGGTTATTTTTGAACACGCCTTTCTGATGGTCAGCAATGACTTCTATAAGAAAGCCTACAGTCCACATTCCCCAGCCAACATAGTCTTGTTTTGTGATCTCATCCTTTCGGTCTTGCTTACCATTCACAATCAGAGTTGGTAGCAAAGTTGATAATACCCAGACACCTTTGTGAAAACAAACGAAAAAAAAGAAAACATAAGTGAAATCAACAGATAAAACAGTCCTTTACTTTCTTTTATGTCCGTCCATTGGGGGTGGGGATGAATTCGGCTCCTCAAAGTACACTGCAACAATTTTTAAAATATTTTTACATAGCACAGTGTTCCACACTTTTCAGAGAAAATTATGTCTTTTCAATGATGCTCCTCAAAAATAAACTCCATAATATAATGCCCAAATTGGGCCCACAAAAACATTTGTGTCCCTCCAGAAGAGACAAAATTGACAAAATCATTTTAACTAGATAACATTTTGGACATACCTCTCAAGGGCCTCCCGCCCACTTGTTATTTTTTGCAGACTCCAGGCAAAGCATTGTATGCAAATTATATATTTAGCTTGCATCACGCAAAGATTTTCGTACATGCAGGATCTTTTGCCTTACGTGGAATCTGTAGCCCCTCCTCGATTCACCAAAGAAAATGAATAATTTTGAACCGTATGTATATTTTTGGTCCCAATTTCATTTAATATTTGTTAGAAATAATTGTTTTACATTAGATTCCATACCGTTCTTAAAAGCAATTGAGGCTACAATTTCGATCTAAAGGCTTCATGGCCTTGATTTGGACCTATCTAGATCAGCTCTGTGTAGCGTCAAACCACAGACTCGAGATTTTGCTTGTCTTCAGCAAGCAGCAATTGGGAGCGCATCATTTTTTATGCCTGTCATTCAGGCGATGACATCACAAAAACTCATTGCCTGGAAGATGCAAAAAATTATAGTGTGTGTCCCACCTTATGCATAGATATCTCCTTGAGGAAGATGAAAAGCCATTTTGTATCTTATGTGATATTAATTTTACTTTCAGACATATACTGATAGAAGGTCCAGATTTTGGAGAGACCGGAAGGAAATATATTTAAATGTATTAACTTGAAGAATTTGTGGTCATATTTGTAGTCAAACTTCAGAAAAGAATTTTTCATCATTGATCCTAACAGGATTCTCGATTTAATAAAGACCATTGTTCTTTACTAAAAGATGTAGATTATACTACTGTAAAATGTAAATAAATGTTTTTACTGTTCAATTTTCACCATAAAATATTTTAACTGCATAAAGTAAAATCAAGCCATGCTGTGAACTAACTTGAAAACAACCGGCATATTCCTGCTATAGGAATGCAAAGAGGAACTGCCGAAAAATGACAGACTGCACGCTCTCTTCTTCTTTTACGTTTTTTTAGCCTACGTAGGCCTAGGGCTATGGCACATACTTTTGGAGTGTCTCTCATAACTCGTCTCTCCGCACCATCTCTCTCTGCCGCCTGCCCCACCTCACTCATCACTGGACTGGCCAATCACAACACCGCACCGCTGATGGTCTGTTTGGAGCCCACCTACAGCCTCCCAACCACCCAACCCCCTTCCCCCAGCTAGAGCTCGCTCAATCTCTCCCGCTGTATCCAAGTTCGGGCCTTTCCTTGCCCCGTTAAACCCAAGCACAGGTAATTGAGTTTACATAGACAAAAAAGGGGATTCCGGTAAGGTCCCGCAGTAGGGACGGACCTGATGCAGCAGGTGCCGCTATAGTTATGTTCTACTGTATCATGAATGCTGCCAGTATAGCCTCCAACTATGATGGATAAACAAAAAGAATCAGTGAATTGTAAGGCCGAAAAAAAAAAATTTTAATTCAAGAAAAAAACTTAATAAAGCTTCAGGTAATCCTTTAAACCTTCTACATATAGAGCTAAAAATAAACTTTTATTGCTGCTGGAAGTTCTTATTTTCTGTGTGTGCCCCTGGCTGACACCACAACAGGAATCGCGCAACTTAAAAAACTACACACCTTTGAGTGTTCCAGAATTATGTTTGGCAACATTACATTGACTAAAATTGGTGCCTTATTGGAAATATTTACTGTGAGCTAATCTGAGGGTGAACTTGCAACAGACAATAGGCAGCAAATGTGACAAAACGTTTAATTTTGTGTAAACATCAACAAAACGAAGTATAGCAGACATTGTAGCCAGCATTTCGTCTCTTCCTACGAGCACTCATACTGACCTGAGACAGGTCTCAATGGGCTGTGCAAATCCTCTCTTTAACCAATGACATCTCAGTTTTCTTTTGGTGCCACTTATAGAATCCCTTTTAAGGAACACAACTCATCCACTGACTTCAGCTATTCTTTAAATATTTAAAAAGGGAAATAACACAATCCGCATTATCAAGAGCGTGTCATGGGGCCAATTATTTCCCTTTCCCTTTCTCCATTTTGCTCACCAAGGAAGACAGTTTAAAGCAATTGATTCCCTCATTAACTTTTCTCCCCCAGCCAATACAGTTTAGTTTCCCTGTGACAGAGTGTAAGAGCATATGGTACGTGGAGTCAAGAAACACTTTTGGAAGCACGGATGTATCTTGAACACAATAACAGCTATCTTTTGATTCACTGGGCAAAGGAGTGCATCCGTTAATCATAACAAAAAAACAAGAATTGTATTTCTAATATCTAATTATTTAGTTCGCTTTTAGCTCACAAATAGGGATTATATGTCGTCAGGGCATTCATATTATATGAGGGATAGGTGTGAAACATAGAAAATTATGCAGATCCAAAAATAAGACAGCAGAAGAGAAATTATAGGCCTAGCGCCTATAGATAAAAATATGATGGAACAGAAAGTGACCAAAAATTGTTAAAACTTGCCTTGTATTGTCCAATATATCCAAAAGAGACCAGGTCTGTGCTTGACTACGTCAAATCTGCTGTCTTTCCCATCCTTAAGAACTCTAGTGAACAGGAAAGTCCCAAGCCTGGAATAAGAAACTCTTCAGTTAAACAATTACAGAGAGAAAAAGATAACAAACAGCTTTTTAGCAGAAAATGGGTCTAATCTCAACAGGGTCAATATCATCCTCCACTCTTCATAACAGTAACAGGAAAACCATTTGACTTTCTAGACTCATATGGCACTTACAATATAAATATATTTACCAGATGTACAAGCAGGCAGTCCATAAACAATTCTTTGGTAGGTCCTGATTTATTCTGTTTTCCCGTTAGGGACAAGAAGCTGCTGATACCTAAGAAGCATTTTTTTAAAGAGTAAAAATCTACTTTGTAGCTTACACAATAAAATTTTAAAATTCCAAAGTTTAATACACCCACCGAACAGCCCATGCTATCACCATCCCACTGTTGACCTTTTGTCTCGTGCTGGGAGATTGAATCCCCAAGAAGGTTAAGACTGTTAACAATACAAATGTGCTTGAACCTGAAAAAGTCAGTAAATTAGGAACAACCTGTTAGAGAAAACAAAGCTACTTCTTTTGAGGTTAAAATGTAAAAAATTAAAAAAACTTGTTTCCAAAACATTGATTGGAAGTTGAACACAACAGAATATTGTACACCATTTAGGAGCCTGACTGCTTCAACCTTGTTTATCAGGGCGACCATGAAAACGTGGGTTACATCCCAGAGGAACGAAACACCGTGCTATAGATTACAACATATTTAAAGTTTTAAAAAGAACGCATCGGCTCCCAAGGCTCTGTGCACCCCTTTGCACCTCTCTTTGCTACACTGAAAGTTTCTACATCAATTCTTATATTTCAGTGATTTATTAAGGATCAAAGGGGGAGTTGAGGCAAGAGTTGTTCATTTCAAAGACCCTAACCTTGACTAATCCTTTGAAAGCCAGGCCCTTCAGACAAACATTTTTCAATCCAATGCCCATCAGTCCTCAGGCCATCTCGGACCTGTCAGGTTGACTTAATTGTATAACTAAAAGGCCTAACAAAAATGTTAGCCTCATGGGTGCCATCTGGCCTTGAGGTCATCGTGCTGATATAGATATTTCGCAACACCAGATATTACGCTTGTGGGCCAAGACGGCCACATGAGTATGGCGCCGTTCCTTTTAAGTCTCTCCTTGCCACTTCAAATTTTCATTCTAAATTTTTTCAAATATTTGTGAAGGCCTAAAAATAATAATATTTTCGAAAATCAGAGCTGGGGAGCATATCTCTGCCGTCGTGCACAAACCTTTTACGTGACAACATTTTCAAAATGTACTTTTTTGGCTTATAATATTCTGTATAACATACAGTATGTCCCAGTCAAACAGTTTTTGACCCAGGTGCAAAATAAGCACATTAAAACCCCAACGAAAAAAAACTCTTATCTCCAACTGCATGAAAGCCGCCGAGCATATAACTCATAAACGCCACCGAGGCGCATAGGAGTTTTATGCCCGGCAGCCCGGCCTGCTCAGCCATCACACCGTGCTGCTTATGTTGGGTAACTTTAATAGTCGTAACAATAGTTGTATTGGCCGCTGTATTGCGTAGGGTCTTTTTTTGGTTTTGTTTGTTTGGTTGGGTTCTTTGGGGGGTTTTTTCTTTCTTTTTGTTTGCATAGTGGATCTGAATCAAAGGTAATAATATCGTTGGGAAGCCTGCAAAGTTGCCCTTGGTGAAAGGGACGGATTAGGTACAGTGGTACTTATATGGTTGTTCACACTTAAAGCATGTTGTTCACTATTCAAACTGAACTATGGCCTTTTCCCCCAACTTCAAAGCCAAATAATACACTACAAGGAGCAGGAACATTTTAAAGGATCAAAACTAAAATGCCCTGCTCCATAAAACTTTTGGTCTAAATCTGTGTATGGACATGGAAAACCCCAAGTTGGGTTTTCCATTAGTTACTTTTCAACGCCAAAAAAAAGATCAGCAGTGACACATTTGACCCGACTAACCAACTTCAACCACTACTGGAGAGCTCCAGGTGCTGGCTTCTTATCTTGCCCTTTCGGTCCCAACAAGTTCTCTTGATGCTATGTTGCAGTGCGACATCGCTGTAGTTTCAGTCCACAATGCTGTTGTCACAGCTGATGTTACTCCAACTCCAGTTATAGGCACTATTTTCCCTTAGCATCATCTAGTGACACAGTGACATCCCCCCAGCATCATTAAGTGACACTGCCCTTCTTCAGTCAGATGTTGGCACTATGGACTCAGCCAAAGACCCATCAATATCAGTTGCTGGCTCGGTCATCTCTGCGGAGGGCAGCTGGGTACTGACAACAGTCTCTTAAATTAACTACCTGCGCCAACTGCAGAAGTTGTTCCCGCCAATGAAGAATTCTCTATCCTGACCCCAGAACCAACGAAAAAAGATGTTGAAAACTGGCAGAGAAGTAAAAATTTATCAGGGAGTCAGAACAAAGTTATGTCTCTGCCAAGGGCGCCCAACGATCGCACGCCAACTTCTGAAACCTTGCAACCAAACATATGCAAAGGGTTGGGGGGCAATTCTCTTTCAAACAAACACAGATCAGTGACTTTTGACTATGTATGGTCACTATCATAAGAGAGTTTTAAAAAAGCGTAAATCAACTGTCTAGTTGACAGCTTTGATGTGATGAGGAAGTGGGAAACTTCAGAAGTATCAAAAGTATCTTCCTTGCTCTTATCAAAACTTCATAAAGGAAGGTGGAGTAAGAGTTGTGTTTGCATGAAAATGTTTACCATTACCCTAACTTTAGGGGACTGCACGATTAAAAATTTCACCGATTCTTTAGGGTCAGATTCAGAGCTGCCAAAGGCAGATTCATCCTCCTGTTTGAAGTGATGAGAAAGTGTTCCTGTAGATGAATTCTTTGGAATATTACTGAAATTCTATCTCACTATAGTCGAAAAACTTCAGCAAAGTATTATCAGGGGTCCCATTTTCATCCTCTGGTGGAGCTCCGGTACTTGAAAAGGTCTGAGGAACTGGGCCCCAAGGGTCTGGGACTAACAGCATTCAAAAAGGAGTTTCATAACAGCAGTTTAGCGTCACATCATCCCCAAAAGGGCCTGTGGCGCATGTGAGTCCCACAGGGTTGGAAACATGTACGAAAAGACATTGAAACAGCACATGAGGCTGAGGGAAAGAGCCTTTGCTGACTGACGGAGTAAGAACAGTTGCCATCTGTATGAACTTGGACTCTGTGCTTCTTGCTCCTTCACTTCAGGCATCTGCCATCTACTGCAAGACAGTGGAATATACTGTATCTAGTCAAAGGACACACTTAAGTAGTTACATTGAAGTTGACTTCTACCAAAACCTTTCGTGATAGAATGAGCATCAAAAGGTGTTCCTGTCTACCTGCCAGTGGACTACATTAGCACCATGGGCAAAGCCTGGCGCAACCCAGACTCTTTGAGGTCAATACTATGATCACACATTTTTCAAGGATTATTCCAAATGAGGACCATTCCACAGTGTGAGGCCAGGTCGTGGAGGAGGTCACCCACATGTTGTGGACATTTGTTGTCTTAGGTATATGCCTGATCGCAACATATCCTTCAAGTTGACGTTTGATGAAGGGTTGGAAGGATCATCCTCGATAAAGGGAGTATGTAGAGGCAGCCACTGAAAAACCTGGAAATCTTAACACAGAGGCCTTGAAGATCACAGACGTGAAATTTAAACACCCCCCGGGACAAAAAAGCATTATCCCTAACGATTGCCATATATTCTACAACAATCTGAATTTCTAAAATCATTTCACTTACAACTGCGAGAGAAAGGAGGAGGAGGTGGAGAGAAAGAGAGAGAGAGAGAGAGAGAGAGAGAGA